TTTGGGCTGGAAAAAAGTTTTGAAAAAGCTACATTCGGAGAATAAGATGCACCCAAATTTTCAGTCTCTTTTAGGTGGGGAAGTGTATCCTATACTCTGAAAAATATGGTACTCAGATTACAGATGTCTTTGGGGAGGGAGAAGTGTCCATCCTTCCCTCGCACAGAGGCTATGAGGAGGTGGGGCATTTGCTTACAATGGACCTTCCACTTCTAACTTTCAACTCCTGGACCAAATGCTGTTTCTGTGTTTCAGCAACCAGCACCTTGCTTACCAGCTCCTTCAAATGAAGGGAAGGCAAATTTATTTGAAACTGTTTCCCTTCTGCCCATGCTCAGTTCACATGAGAACTCAGACTTCAAAGAAATAATGCAAGTGGGAGAATAGCATTGAAGATCCCAAGGAGGAGATATACAAAGTTGGAGGGGTGGGTGCAGTGACGTGCAGTGAGGGATACCGTTGGTGAGGCAAGAGCGCGGCAGCGGCGAGGAGCAACGTCCCCGCCGCTGTGTCCGACAGGCATCTCTCGTTTATGTTGGACATAAACGCGAGATGCCTGTTGGACACAGCGGCAGGGGTGTTGCTTCTCGCTGCTGCCGCGCTCGCCTGCCTCGCCCCCCGCCTCCTCCGTCCCCACTGACATTCTTGGGAGCAGGTTGGGTGGCTGGCTGGCTGGGAGGAGAAGAGCAGTGAGTCTTTGTGCCAGCTGGCCGGCCAGGCAGGGAGCAGGTCAGGTGGGGGTGGGTGGGTGGCTGGCTGGGGAGGGACTCACCGCTCTTCTCCCAGCCAGCCAGCCACTCACCCCCACCCGACCTGCTCCCTGCTTGGCCGGCCGGCCAGCCGGCACAAAGACTCACCGCTCTTCTCCTCCTAGCCAGCCAGCCACCCACCCCCACCCGACAAGGACTCACCGCTCTTCTCCTCCTCCTCCTCCTCGTCCTCCCTGCTCGGTGCTGGGCTGGCTGCTGAAGAAATGGCGGCTAGTGGTCAAAGAAAAACCTCTCCAGAATCACCCTTGCACTTGCGCAGTCGCTCAAGTGCAAGACATGATTCGCTGCTCCCAGATCAGGAGGCGGGAGAATCAGTGCCTCTTTTGCATATTAAATCTTTTGCTTTTTAACTCCGCCTTAACTTTTAAAAGGCGAAAAATTCCTTAAGCAAAAGAGGCCCTGAGTTCTCTGGCCTCCTCCTAGTTAACACTGAGAGCAGACACCAAGCCACTGTGACTTGAAATCTGGTAGCAACTATCCTGGCTTTAATTCATTAAAAAAATATTTAAAACTCTTTCCTTTCTCTCAGGAGACTGGGGAGGCTCTGCCTCCCTTGCCTCTAGTGACTGCACGTCCCTGGGTGGGTGATATAGCAGATGTAGGATATGAGCAGGCTGAGCATGAGGAAGGGGTCAATGGGGAATCCCTTTGTGCCCACATGAGATCTAAATCCAGCTCACCTTGTATTTGTTTTGACTATTAGTAGTTCAGATTTTTATTGAGAGAATTAGCATGCAATAAACCTGAAATCATTTGAACTGCCTTTCTTCCTGATTTCTTGTGCTTGACAGCCTGTCTATAAAAAAGGCCTTTTCTATTGCAGTTCCCATACTTAAGAACCTCTCTCCTCCAGAGAATTGAGCTGCCCATTTCCTCCTGGCATTTTGTCAAAGTGTTAAAGCAACACTATTCCACTGTAATGTTAATAGGACTGACTGTTTCTGGTGGCCATCTGGAACATTTTTATTAAATGTAGATAAGGTAAATAAAGATGAAACTTGAACTATTAACCTTCAAAGTGGAAGGTGAGTGCTTTCATCACTAGGCCACCATGCCTTTCAGAAGAGTAAAAATTGTTCAAAATAAGCATAACAAAATAAAAACAAAAGGGGGGGGAGGAATAGCATATATGAAGAAGTATTACTTTATTACAATACACACAATAGTAGGGATGGAAACCTTCTTGAAAGTATTTAAGTGAATATCAGAGAAAAAAATGAATGACATCAACATAGGTGTGTAGTTCTACACTTCTACAACAAATGCCAACAATAATTTTAAGTTTCTTTTAATATGTAAAGAAGAAGAAAAAAGTGAAATAAACAATGGGTCACTAATGGGAAAAGATGGCAACAAAGTGACAGAGAGCAGGAAGTAAGTGAAGCTGCTTAATTCCTACTTTGAATCTGCAAAAGGAAAAAATAGCCAACATATCAAAAGCAGCACAGTGGGAGACAGAACAAGAATGCAAACCAAAATAGGTAAGAAATTGGTTAAAAACACCTAGACATTTTCGAAGACTTCAAATCACCAGGAGCTGGCAGATGTAATCTCAAAACTACTGAATGAAGCCTTTCTGAGTTCCTGGAGCATGGGGAAATTGTCAGAAGACTGGAAAAGAGTTGATGTTATTGCATTCTTCAACAGGAAAAATATGGCTCTAATAAATTACAGAACAATCAGCTTGACATCAATACTAGGAAAAATCTGCAACAGATTTTGGACCTGTAATATTTGCTTTTGGTTAACTAATTAATCTATATATGAAAATAGCAAAAAACTATCATTCAAGTTATATTAGTTGTTTTGAAGAATATATTGATTTATATTATGAGTATACATAACATTATAACTTATAAATTGACTGTATATGTGTTCAAAATGTAGCAAGATGCCCAAAATTTGATTCCTAGAAAATTTAAATTATTAAATGGACATGAACATTTGTGTGAATTGCATAACATCTAGGACTTAAATCTAGTTTTAAAATGTTTTATGGCAGCAGAATAGATTTAGCATTAGAATGAACTAAGAAAAAAGTAGTGTAATTCTGTATTGAAGCAGTGATTAATGGATCTGTATCCTACAATTATTAAGGCATTAAGAAAATATGTAACATATGTAAGAAACGGATTCAATTTAAATTTAATAAAAATTAAAGAATAAGTAAAGTGCTTGAAATTGAAAATAAATCAATCAGCAATCTCTATGTTTAAATTATAATAATTAAAATGACATATCAAGAACACAATACATTGAGAAGTTCTTATTAACATCAGCAAAACCTTCAATCATTTTGCAAAATAAAAATATAAATTTCTCCATACAGTAAGACAACTTTGAAAATATTACAAAGTACTGTTTCCAACATTATTGTGTCAGTAATAATATGAAAGACTGTTATAGCTGTAAGAGATGAAAGACATGCCATATTTCCCATTTATTGTTTTCGGTTTGTTTACTATGTGAATTTGACAGCACTTTGTGTCTGATCTGTCTTTTTTTCTCCCTTGTGTAGTTTCCCTTGCTACTTGCATGAGCCTTTGACAAAACAACGGGAAAGAAAAACATTTCTTAAATCTGGGAATATATGACTGTAAAAAACAAAAACAAAATGTGGAGATTCAAGGGTGAAAAATACTTTAGGAGCTGTTAGTTTTTTTAATTTTTAAGGTTGAATAATATTTGTTTCTTTAAAGTTAAAAGTCTAGGGTAGCTTGATTTGATTATGGATGAGGAATCTGACCTGACCCTTCCTGAATCTGGAGTTGGAAGTTGGATGAAGTTAACCTCTTCTAATTTCTTTCCTGTAGGTGATTAGTGTAGCAGAATAGATACAAGGGCAGAAATAATAATTACTCTTGACTGTTAAAATTCTCTCTCTTGGCTTTCTATTTAACTGAATAATAACTAAAGATGATCCTTTTTTCCTGATTAATTCCTGCCTTTTGGCAATGGTGGCTTAGAATAATGGAAACATTCAAAACATTTAGAATAACAGGTTGTGGAGGGCTGTTTTTGCCTTCACACTGGATTGAGAAAGGCTGATTCGAAGTTTTGCTACAGGGAGAGTCTGATTGAAATAATGATTCATTCAACTGATTTAAATTATATATCAGGAAACACAATGTTAAGTATTTACCTCACTATCAAACAGTTGCACTTAACTATCTTCTTAATTGAAGAAAGACAATTCGATTTACTTCATAAAAGTTTCTTCCAAGTCTATGGATGACATGCGAAAAAAATTGAGTGAGTAGTAATAGTCAGTCTTTTTTTCATCTTATCTTATCTTTTGTAATCTGAAAAAGAAACAGCTGAATACCCTGCAGCTGGGGCTCTGCGGCATGCCTCCTCTATCAGCATGGGTGGAGCATGTCAATTCCAGTGGGATGAGATATATAGCCTGGATCCATGCCTTGAAGGGCTTTAAAGGTGATTACCAATACTTTGAATTGCACCTAGAAACAAACCAGTGCAGCCCATGGAGCAGTGGTGTTACATGAACTATTCTTGGGGCCCTAAGAACTGCCTATGCCACCACACTCTGCACCAGCCAATACTTCTGAATGCTCTTCAAGGGTAGTCCCATGTAAAGTGTGTTGCTGTATCCAACAGTGAGATTACTAGGGATTGATTGACTAAGTTGTGGGACTCCAGTTCTAGGAGAGGCAGCAACTGGTGCATAATCTGAAGTTGCGCAAAGGGTCCCCCACAAGTTGCAGATTTAGAGAGCACTTTGGAGATCTTATTCACATAAAAACTGCTGAACAACACAACCACCAGCTTCTTCAGGGCAACAACTCTGTGAGAACATATTTTGAAGATTTCAAGCTCACTGCAGCAAATAAAATGGGCTCAACAAGGCCATAATCACACAACTAATACAACAAGGTATTATTCCCTGCAGTCTACAAGACCTCTACTTAGCCACTATAACAGCTGAATCTCAACTTGCAGAACTTAGAGCATTTTTTGGCAGACCTATTCAACCACTTCCAAAGCTGCTTTTCCTGTCACTAGGCCAAGTCTCCCTGCCTCCTTGAATTTTGATGCTAAACAGCCAATGTTTCTCTGGTGTGGCAAGACAAGCCCTGAGAGCAGAAGAATTGCAATAACACAGAACCTTTCCCTTTGTTTCATTACAGACAGCCTGGCCACATGGTCAAGAATTTGCCCTACTAACACCCCTCTCCCAAGAAGAAGCAATAAGCAGCCCAGCAATATTTCTACTAGTAATCTCACAAACCTCAAGGACAGAGAAATGAGAAATACTTTCCCTCCAAGAGATCATGGGAGCAGGGGAACCCAAGCACTGAACTGGACTCAACTACTTCCACACTCAGGTACATTAATAAAATGTGATTCTATCCTCACACTTCCCAGTGGTCATGAAACTGCCACCCCTGTTTCATAGATTCTGGGGCAACTCTGACTCCATAAGCCTAGCCATAGTGCAAAAAATTAAGATTCCCTACTGTTCCCCTGAAATTTCCACTCCCAGTGATAACTATTTGTTAGATCGGGTAAAGGAGGCACACAAAGGCTTCAGTAACAACAGCTCTTTATTGCAAGTCAAGTAACATCTGGCTGAGAAATGGTCGGGCAGCATCCCTTTTTAAAGGGATCTGTCAGACCTCTTGACCAACGGGATTCAACCTCTGTTCCCGCCGGAACAGAGGACCTTGGTGGAAACCACTGTCAGTCTGTCAGTGGTGGGGTGGGGGTGGGAATATCTAACACCCTTCCCCTCTAGGATTGAACAATCTAACTGGTGACGTAGTTACGCAGGTAGGCGGGCTTTTGCGTAGCTCTGCCTCACCTGCGCAATTCAGTCTTGGTGTTTCGTTCGAACAAGTCAGATGGACCTGTTGCTTCCACAGACCCGCCTGATGGAATCTCCTGGAACTTTTCACAGGCCGTGGCTGGAGCTTTTGGTGTTGACTCACTCGGAGCTCGCTTTGGGCCTGCATCGAAGTCAGATAAGTCTTCCGATATTCTTGGGCTTGATTTGGTCTTGGAGGGACTGTTATTTTGTGAAGTCTCTTTCAGTTTGTGCAGGAGTTACATTTGGTTGTCTAAGCCCAGAGTTGGACATGCGGCTTCGGAGTTGGTCTATATGCCTTCTCCAATTTCTACCATGCTCGAGTTTTACTGTGTATGATTGAGGGCCAGTAATTCCAATTACAGTTGCAGGAATCCACAACATTCCCGCAGTGTAGTTGTGTGCATATACTGAGTCTCCTATGGTGAAAGACCTAACTTTGCTTGTGGAGTCAGGGGATGTTGAGGTGGAATAATTTGGATGTAGCTGGTCCAGGTGAGACCTTAGACGGCGGCCCATGAGGAGTTCAGCGGGGCTTCTTCCAGTGGTAGCACTGGGTGTGGTGTGTTGAATGAGTAAGTAGTGATCAATTCATGTTTGCCAATCACCAGGGCCCATCCTTTTGAGGGCCTCCTTTGCAGATCTTACCATTTGTTCTGCCTGGCCATTGGAGGCCGGATGGAATGGCACGACCAGGGCATGTCTGATTTCCTAAGCTCTAGGAAGGTCTTGAATGGCATGGCCGTGAATTGGGGCCCGTTATCAGAGACTAGGACATCGGGAAGGCCGTGCGTGGAGAATAGTCTCCGTAGTACCTTGATGACCGATTCCACTGTAGTGGAACACATCAGGACTACTTCTAACCATTTTGAATAAGTGTCCACAACTATGAAGAATGTTTGGCCATGGACTGGTCCAGCGAAGTCAATGTGTATTCTGGACCATGGTGCTTGTGAGTGCTCCCACTCCTTGGCGGGCGCTTCCAGGGGAGCTGGTCTGGACTCCTGACAGGGCGTGCATGTAGCCACTCATTCTTGTATCTCCCTGTCCATGTAGGGCCACCACACATAACTCCTTGCTAGATATTTCATTCTAACAATCCCAGGATGCCCTACATGTAATGCTTCAAGGACTGCTATGCGCAATTGTTTGGGAATGACTACCCCCCATAGCAAACACCCGTTAATAACCAACCGTTCATCCCGTTTGGAAAAATACATTTTGAATTTGGCCCCAACAAGCCCCTTGGGCCATCCCCTCCACACCCAGTCCAAAATTTGTTTTATTATAGGGTCTTTTGCAGAGTGGCGTGCAATGTCACTAGATGAGACGGGTCCAGTTTCCAGGCAGTCAATGAGGAGGACCAATGTCTCGGGGGTGGGATCGGCGAGGACTTCGGGCAGTGGGCAGTGGCTTAAGGCATCCGTGTGCCCTAACTTGGTGCCCGGTCGGTGGATGAGGTGCTAGAGAAATTGTCCACCTCGTCATTCAGGAAGGTAGTGATATCAAGGTGGGGCAATCTCCAGTCAGCAACCCCAACAATGGCTTGTGGTCTGTGATCAGTTCAAAATCCCGGTCATAGAGATATTCGTGGAATCTCTTTACTCCAGTTACTGCAGCCAAAGCCTCATGGTCCGGTGGCTGTAATTCTGCTCTGCAGCGGATAATGTCGTGGAGTAAAATGCAATGGGGGCTTCGGTTCCATTGGGCATGCAGTGGCTGAGGACAGCACCGACATCAAAGGGGGAAGCGTCACAGGTCAAAACCAAAGGCAGGGTCTAGCTGTATTGTACTAGGAATGAATCTGCTGATAAAAGTCTTTTACAGAGGTGAATGCAGTGGCCTCAGTTTCGCGTTCTTGGCTAGGAGGCAATGTAGTGGCTCAGCAATGGTGGCTTTCTGTTTGAGAAAGACGCTGCAGAAATTAAGGAGCTCGAGGAACACCTGCAGTTCAGTCTGATTGCTAGGTGTGGGGGTTTCCTTAATGGCTTTAATTTTTTGTGAGGTTGGGTGGATCCCAGACCCATCGATCATGTACCTTAAGAATTCGACTTTTGGTACATTATTTGACATTTTTCTTTTTGGAGGTGGAAGCCCTTGTCTCTGATTCTAGCCAAAATTGTTCGTACATGTTTTAAACATTGCGCTTCATTTGTGAACATACCAAGATGTCAGCGAAATAGGGGACAACTCCTGGAATCCCCTGCAAAAGTTGTTCCATGACACTTTGGAACAGTCGAAATCGTAGGCGGTTGCATTTGAATGTATCTCTGTGCTTCACAATGGTTTGGGCCGCCGTGGTAGTGCCATCTACTGGCAATTGTTGGTATGCCTGTGCCATATCCAATTTTGCAAAGATTTTTCCTGGACCAAGCAAATGCAATAGGTGCTGTACAATAGGTACAGGTTAAGCGCTTCGTTGTAGTGCTTTATTAATTGTACATTTATAGTCTGTGCAGATGTGTACAGACCCGTCAGCTTGACAGGTGTCACAATTGGCGTCTCCCAGCGTGTGTGATCGACTGGTTCCAAGATGTCCTGGCTCATGAGCTTATCGATTTCTTTGTCAATTTTTGGGCGGAGAGAGAAAGGTACTCTCCTGGGTTTTAGCCTAATTGGGGCTATTGTGGGGTCTAAACTAAAGGAAATTGGGGTTCCTTTGTACTCACCCAGACCGGTGCCGAAGACATCCTCAAACTCCTTAAAGATGGCTTCAGTGGCATCCTCTGCCATGGAGTTGACTCTAGTCACTTCCATCTCCAAGGCTTGGAACCAATCAAGCCCCAGCAGGCTCTGAAGGTCCTCTTTGACTACCATCATGGGGAGGTTTTTGCAGAATTGCTTGTAGTTTACCCGGAAGGTGCCTTGGCCCACGATGGGGACCTGGTTCCCCTGGTAGTCACATAGGTGGACATCGGGACTTCTGAGGTGTCTCTTTTGTAGCTTGGGGATCACTTGCTTCCGGACTGACCATGGGATTATGGTCAGTGATGGCCCAGTGTCGATCTCCATTTCTCATGGAGAGTCCTCAATGAGGACAGTGACTTTCAACTTTTTGGGGCGAATGGTACAGATTTGTCTAACCAGAACAGTGACATTCAGCTTTTTTGGGTGCCCTGGGTGGCTTCATGTAGCAGAGGTTGGCAATTCTATCGTTCCCTTCTGACTCCCATGGGTACTTCTGGTTTGAGTCGCTGTTTGCAGTTTTGGGCCCCCTTGGGATGTCTTGCGGCCATAGGGAAATCGCTGTGGCATACCTTGGCGATGTGCCCCTTCCGCTCGCATCACTGGCAAATTGCTTCACGGAAATGGCAGGATAATCGGATATGGTCTCCTCTGCAGTTGGCCCAGGAATTTGTGAGTTGAATTTTCATGCTGGCTTTGTGCGGCTACTGTGCATGTGGTAGCTGCCTTCCTCTTCGCTTTCAGAGCTCTCAGACTCTGTGGTCTCGCAGTGTACAGGGATACTTTTCCATGCATCCGGAGGTGTGCTGTGGTGCTGGAGGGTTTCCATCGATTGCGTGGCTGATTCGGATGCTCTAGCTTCGTCTAGTGCGATCTGCAGAGAGAGGTTGGATTTAGCCAGAAGCCTCCTCTGCAGAGTGATCTCTCGCACACCACAAATTATGTGGTCCAGAATCAGCTCATCCAGTTCACAGAACTCACAGTAGGCTGCAGCTTTTCAGAGCGCTGTCACATACTCACTGATCGATTTGCCCTCCTTCTGGTTCCGAATATTGACCTGGAACCGGCGAACGTATTTGGACAGCTTCGGTGCATAGTGGGTCTTCAGCATTTGTTGTAGTGCAGACCAGAGCACTGCTTGTAGGGGGAGGGGTCGGTTCCGAGAGGTTTTTTGCCATCTCAAACACTTCCCGGCCACAGTAACCAAGGAACAAGTTCTTTTTGGGGGTTTCTGGAATGCCCATCGTTCACTTGCAGGAAACACTCAAATTGTAGCATGTACGATTCCCAGTGTTTGGTAGCTGGATTGTACGGAGTTCGTAGGGCGTGCATAGCCATACTGGTTCTCTCTGGTTGTTCTGCGATGGCTTGCTTGATGCCTCATGGGATGCTCTGGGCTGGATGTACTTGCAAGGCTTCATTCTAAATTAAAACATGTTCTGCTGTTGTAGCATTTTCAATATATATATATATATACGCATAATATTGTATTGTATTGTAAATATAAGTAAGTAAATAGCAGCTACTAGTTAAAAAACTTCCCAAATACTGAAATGCAGAGTCACAGCAATGTAGATATATAGATTCCAAGTAAACATATTCAAAAATAAAAATAAAATGGAGGCTGGGTTTTCTAAGTGAAATAATGAAGCACAAAGTAGGAGGTCCAACTTATGCATTTTAAACAATTTTCATTGTTTTAACAAAACTATATTGTCTCCAGAATGTATTATGAACTTCTTAATAAAAGACAAAGATAAATGTACATACAAAACTAAAGAGAAATTATATTTTTGGTTCAGCTCCTTTAATACATTATACAATAATTTTTAAATAATATAACATGACTCAATATGGTAGAAAAAAACTGAAATATATTCATATTTTCTTTCAGAATATATAGAATTATTGCCGCCTTATATTTTAATTAATTTAACTGATCAGCATGTAGATTTCATCCTCTTCCCATATAGTGAAAAATCATTTGGAAATTCTTATCCCACCTCTAAACCAACTTTATGGGCTAACAAATATTTCATGATATCTACTAAAAACATGAAATAAGTTTGAGTTTCTCCTGGACTCCTGAGGAAAAAAGTAATGAAAAATATATAAAACTAAAATTAATAAATTATAAACTTGCTTGTTAAGATGTGAATCTCTGAAAAAATCTGATATTTTTTTCTTTCTCTGATTAGGATTTTAATATATAAACCTTCTGCATTTTTAGAAACTAGTGTTGATTCTTAGTGCAGACCATGAAATAAACAAAATCTGGCCATGTTATAGCATATGTGGTTTCATTTCTACTTAAAACTGCTTGGAAGGACAGTAATAAGATGGATGTATGGATGTGAGGGCATTAAAAATTCACAACATTCAAAATATTTCATTAACATGACACTGTTGCACCTTAATATTTTGCAGAATATAATCATTCCACAAATTGTAATTCATTTTTATATGCATTTAATTAAACGATGTATGGTTTTAACCATAATTATAGATTATATGTTACAACACCATTTCTGATTTGTTAAATTGTTTTAAAGTTTGCACTGTTGATTTATCATTGATTTGGCAGATAGATGACATTAATATTGTTTATATGCCATTAAGATGTTGTTGACTCTCTGTATATATTCTTGAAGGAAAGGAATGGAAGAGCCCGCCGCTCACTGACTTGCTGAATAGCCAATCGCCCTGCCTCTGAGAGTTCTATATATACTGTGGACGTCCTGATTACTTCTTTTCCTGGCTTGGCTCTTGCGTCGTCCCTCGCTGACTCAATCCTAGATGACTCGATCCTTGCTGACTTCCAGCTTGCCTGCCCTGATGTATTATTGCTACCTCCTCAGGTAAGTAAACCTATGGCTGCAACTTCATGGGGCACACGAGTGGGAGCGGGGAAGCTAGTGGAAGAGCCATCTTCCTTGAAGCCGCTGCCCAGGCTCATGTAGACTACGAAGCTGGCAGGTGCTGGGTGCGCAAGGTGGGGAGGACAAAGCTAGTGGGAGCGCCGTCCAGCTTCCCAGTCTATGCAAGTCTGGGGAACAGCTGAGGCCTTCCTTGCAGCCGCTCCCTGGGCTCATGTAAAGCAAGAAGCCAGCTGATGCTTGGTGGGTGACTTTGTGGGGCGTGCAGGTATGGGGGGCAAAGTTAGCGGAATGTTGTCCAGCTTCCCAGTCTATGTGAGCCTGGGAAGTGGCTGAGGCCTTCCTTGCAGCTGCTCCCTAGGCTCACATAGATCAAGGAGCCGGGTGGCGCTCATCGGGTGACTTTGTGGGGTGCATGGGTGGGGTGAGGGGCAAAGCTAGCGGGAGCACTGTCCAATTTCCCAGTCTATACAAGCCTGGGGAGTGGCTGAGGCCTTCCTTGCAGCCACTCCCCGGGCTCATGTAGATCAAGAAGCCGGCTGGCGCTCAGTTGAGGCCTTTCTTGCCACCCTCCCACAGGGACAACCCAGTCCCTAGTCTACCCTGGCTGGCTAAGCTGCCTCTGTTCCATGCCAGGCGGGCCTAGCTGACTGGGTTATCCCTGTGTTCCTCCAGTCCAGTTTACCTGCCTGGTTGCTTGCCTGCTACCTGCATCCATCACATTGAAGAGCAGTTGATTCTGCCTGCTGGTAAGTGACTGGGGTTTTTTTCTTTATGCTTTTAATGTTTTTTTAAATGATATTTTATTGTTAATTTTTTTCAGGAAATGTTTTTTTTAATTGTTTTTAGGAAATGTTTTATTTTATTTATTGTTTTCAGGAAATGTTTATTACAAGAAATGGTATTGCTTTTTGGAAACGTTTTATTTGTGATGCAAGATGTTGCTTTTCAGTGTTCAGGTTGGTGCATGGTTTGCGAGATTTTGTGTGTTTCTGTAGTGAATTCACTACCTAAATTTTATGTGCCTCAAAATGGCTGCTTTTATATGGGCAGGTTGGTGCAAGGCCGTTTTGCGAGATCTTGTGTGTTTATTTCTGTAGTGAATTGATAGGCAGGATAATCATATTTCCTCTGTAAGTAGCTATCTTATTCTTTTGTGTGCTGGTTTCATCCTAATGCAGTGCAATTAAAATCTTCCTTTCTATGTCTCTTCTTTGTGCAGGCCATTCATTGGAGTAAGGTGGTCATTTGATGGCACTGAAGACCGGCAAGGACAGTCATCTCCCTTCTGTAAGTAGCTATTTTATTGTTTTGTGTGCTGGTTTCATCCTAATGCAGTGCATGCAATTGAAGAGTTCACTTCTGTGTCTCTTCTTTGTGCAGGTCATTGGAGCAAGGTGGTCAGTGATGTTGAAGACCGGCAAGGACAGTCATCTTCTTTCTGTAAGTAACTCTTTTATTGTTTTGTGTACTTATTTTACTCTTATTTAAGTAGTAAGTGCACAAAATAATAAATTTACTTTTTTATATCTTCTTTTTGTAGGTCATTCATTGGGGCAAAGATTTCAGTGACATCAACTTGGCCATTCCTACTCAGCCACATGACTGCCAAACCACTCCTACCCAGTCACATGACCGCCAAGCCACTCCCACCCCTGTCACATGATCACCAAGCCACTCCCACAAAATAGGCCACACTGACAGAATAGGTAGTAAAATTTTTTGAAACCCACCACTGCCCTATACCTACACCTCCCGCAAACTCAGGAACACAGAGAGGCGGTGGGCCGCATATAAAAAGTGAATGTGTTCCACTTTCTAAACATAAATCATCTTGCAAATTATAATATGAATTTTAGTTATATTTGTATATAAATCATATGCATTTCTCTGCACTGCTAAATACTAGAACCATTTATATCTAGAGTTAAGAAAAGGCATAAGAATATATTGCTTGGCATATTTTCATCAAAATAATGGGATCTGGTATGCTGATTTCTCTGGCAATAAACCTTTGATCTATTCTTGTAACTTGTTCAGCTTCGCTAAGGCCTTTCTGCATTAAGCATCAGTCCTTTATGTGGCACTGCATCTCTTCAACATGCTACTTTGGGCAATGCTTAAAGAATTCCTCTCAGCAATCTTCCAAACTTATCCAGCTTAGGTTACTAACCCATACTGTGCTTTAATAAAATAGCCAGATCAACAGTTTCTGCCTTTTACAAGCACCAGCTATCAGGTCCATTCCAACTTTCTCCTTCTCCTTCTCCTCCTCTTAGAAGATAAAAGCTAATACAATCTGATATAGAGTAACAAAGAAAAAAGGTATCAAAGAAAAACAAAAGGTTCAAGAAATAAAAACATAAGAAAACCCCAGTATCATTTTAGCTAGATTGTCTATCTTTTGTAGCCTTTTCCACATATTTACCAACCAATATGGTTCTTTCTTTTGCCAATTGGACCTGCAATACTTGCTGATGTCATTAATCCATCTTAGTTTCAGTCTCTTTCGTAGACAATTTTTTACTAAGTGGGGTCCATTCTATAGCTGCCTTGGTCCACCTACCATCAGTTTTTCTTCCTGTGTTACCAGCCCATTTCCATTTCAATTATTTTACTCTTTGGATGATATAATATACTTTTGTTTGTTTTCTCACCCATGCGGAGGCCTTTCTAGCTTGTCTTGGAATGCCGAACATGTATCCGAACATGTATCTTTCCATGGGTCCTAGCTTTTGTATCAATTGTGAGGTTAGTGTTCATGTTTCACCAGCATATCTTAAAGCAGGTAACCCTTTTCTCTTTAGGCATAGGGGGAGGTTGTTCTTGAAAATTATGCTTAGCTTGCTGAATCTCTGCCAACCATATTTAACATGCCGTTCAATTGAATGGAAATGGGTTGGTCACCTAGCAAGAGGAACTGATGGCAGGTGGACCAGGCAGTCATAAAATGGATCCCATTTGATAAAAGTGTTCAGAAAAGAGACCTAAAACAAGATGGATCAATAACATCAGCAAGTATTGTGGGCCCAATTGGCAAAAGAAAGTTCAGGACCAGATTGGCTTTAGTAATAATATGTTCACTAGTGACCTGTAAGAAGTTAAAACCCACACCTCTCCCAGAAGAATGAAATAACCTGGAAAATATTAAAAAGGCAGAATATTATATTTTCCTGGAAATAGAGAAACGTGTTTTTAGGCAGAAAACAGATTCACTCTTAATAGTCCCTACCTTTGTCAATGGGCCATTAGAAGACTAAGCCAGTCTATTCTACATAATAAAGATCTTCAGCTCCAGGGTGATGGGATTAAGGCATGATAGTATTAGCCCTTTACCCATCTCACCAGGAGGGAACAGGATTGGGTCTCAGTACAGCCTACAGAGTTGTCACTGCACCGCTCCCTGGGAGTCTCACCACCAATCAGAATGCATTTCTTACACAGGATGGGAAGCTCTAGGGTGGGATCCAAGAAAGGGCATAAAACCGAGGGCGGAGCCTGGATGCCGTGACGAGACGACGTGCGATCTCAAAGCTCTGAGATCGCACTTGATACTTTTATTGCTGGGGGGTTCCAACGGACCT